GCTTTCGATTGCGTGTCACATTGGAAAAATTAAAGTATTATAATTTTTATAATGATAGTGTAAACCTCATCAAATCTTATCTTAGCACTTGTAAGCAGTTTGCTACTTTGGGCGGATCTAAATCTGGCCCTAAAAATATGAATTATGGTGTGCCCCAGGGATCCATTTTGGGGCCTATATTATTATATTGATATAAATGAAGATAATGTGTATTCTACAGCTGAAGATTCATTATTTTCTATTTAGTTTAAAACATTATTATAACATTATTAAAATTTTTAATAAAGTTAAGTTGGATAAAACTTGGTATTTACCTTACTTGTATCCATCATTTTTTTACTAGTTCATTAGGCATTAAAAGCCAAGGTGTATACGTGCGAAGTATGTCTAAATATTTGTTTTTTATGGGAATATAATTTTTTTTATCCAAAAAAGTTAAAGTAATTACAAGGTAATAACATTTTAATGTTAAACATTTACTAAAAAAATTACTATATTTGCTTAACTTTGAACGTAATTTTCTCAAAATAAAGTATTCATCACTTGTATCCCATGGCTTCTAGGGTCCTCATATATTAATTTTTTTATAAGAAAAAATTTTCTAAAATATTTCTTCTACTTAAAAAAGGAGAAATCAGAAGGAAGTTTAGGAGTACTTTTTTATTTGTGTATTCTTATAAAATATGTACAATGATGATTTTTTTTTGTAAAAGAGCACTTTTTTGATAATGTTTAGAATTTCACATTTTATTGATTTAAAAACATTTAACGTTACAAAAATTAAAATTTAGTTACGTATTAGTAAAGTATTTCTAAATCAATCTCAAGCATTCTGTCAATAAGTTTGAAATCAGTAGTTTAAACTGAATATGCCATCGATAGTGCATGGTAGACACATCAGTCATGGGTTACATGGAAACGACAAAAAGTTATAGAGGTTTTAATAAAAACAGTGCACTCAGTGCACCTGCGGGACTAGTTGGAGGTTAATGGAAAAACTTTAACGACGTTGTTTCAGTTCTTAAAATTATTATTAAAAGCTTAAAATTGAACTGAATTTTAAATGTAAATTTACATATATTAGAGTAGATATCAATTTTATTTATTAGAATATACAAAACAAAACAAAAATATTTTTTTATGTTTTTTTTCTTTTGAAAGACAAAAACCGTTTTTTTAATCTCTACTGATAGGTAAATATGTTTATATATGTGTGTCTCACATTTTAAATCGAAAGATTTATTAGTTCTAAAAGTAAATTTTTGAAGATTCACATTTATGTCCCGTTATGAGTTAAGTGATTTTTAGATGTTATATTTAATTATTTACACCAGCGATTATGCGATGCGAAGATTTAATTTAGGACCGCTGGCCGCGGTTTCCTTTTACAATAAAACCTATTTTAAATTACTATCCTGTAAATTTTAAAGTATTTAAATTTTAAGGTAAGCAAAGGTCTGGTTTTATTTTAATGCGAAACGCAAACATTGTCTCTGTTATTTGTTTTATTATTATTATTCTATGGTAATTATTAGTTTATTTAAGTTTGCCAATAGGCTCATAGATAATTGCGACCCTCTATATGAAATGATCTCTTAAAGCCGATGATTATAAATAATCATCATAATAAATTAATTCCTTTTATAACAGTTAATTAAACCAACGAACATTAATCCCTTCAAAGAAAAAGTCTGTAAAAGCTTGTAAAGGCGTTATTAAATATAATTCTAAATCAATTAAAAATAAATTATATATAATTAAATAAAATCTTTTTTACTCCGGCTGTGTGTGATTTTAGGGTATCTTTTAGAGTTCTCTTTCAGGAAATAAATTAAATGGTGTTTAGAGTGTTGTTACTGTTGTTGCTCGATCTAATTAATAACATTATTGTTTGTTAAACAAATTTGAAACAAAATTTAAAGTTGTTTAATACTTAACATACATTTAATCAAAGACAACCTTGTCTCTGCGTTTAACTGCACGTGCAGAATATTATATATTGCAGAATACTGCACTGTACAGAATATTATATATATTTTTTAAGAACTTGCACACAATCACGTTTATTACGCCTATTTGCACAAAAAGCTCTTAAATTTTATTTAACCATTTAAATATTTATATACTCATGAGTATGGTTGTCGTTACAACGATAACCATAGACCACTACAACAACGTGTATAGATAACTCGCTCATGCGCATAAGCAAACTGATAAACTTGTAAAGTTTGAACCAATCTGCATTGTAACCGCTGCCAGTTTTTCACCAGTCTTAACTAAAAACGAAGTTTGCCAAAAATAACTATATCTAAGTTTTTAATTTCATGCAGTTTTCGAGCTATCGCGTTGGCAAATAAATGCCAAAACAATTTTTAATGAAACGTGACGCAATTCATATGTCCAACATACGCCAATAAATGAAAAATATCGTACACCAAACTTATTTAAAAAATTCCTTCCCAAAACTTGGTTCTCTGGGTAAAAGTATTTGATTACATTTTTAAAGTTTAACTCTGCAGCTAGGGGCGTGATTGCTATATCAGACGGCCCGGGAAATTAAGAATAATAGGCGAAATAATGGCCTGTATAAAACCAAGTTTTTTTTTTAAACATTTATTAACACAAGCAACGTAATGTGTAATTTAAATTTTCTTCGCCTTATTTTAAGTTTTCTAATAATAAAGTAAAGGAAAGTAGTATTGTGCTAGTAGTATAGAAATCGTAGTGGAAATTCTAATGGTAACTATTTTGTGGTTATGAAAGGAACCGTTCACACCGAGTGAATACTTAAATTCTCATAATTTAGAGTAGTTGTTCAAAATTCTGCCTATTTACATCCAAACAAATACTTGCTCTATGAAAAATGTTTTTTTGGACGCATTGCAGCATTCGTGGTGTCACCATTGCAGCAGGATATCGGTTGAGATGGGTAATAAGGAGAAGAATAATAAAACAGTGATAAAAATCAAAGACAGATCACGAATAAATAAAAAAAAACATTTACTGGTTTTGTTTGGTCTTTTACCAAAACTTATAGACCTGCCTGATTGTTAATTGTATTTCCAAAGACAACGTTGCTGAATTCTGATTCATGGCACCTAGATGAAAAAATTGTGATTTTTTAAGTGGATTATTTCGACTTGGTTGGAATTCCGAGTTAATTTTATTATGCATAATGAATCATAAATAGTCCATGATAAAAATTGTATAACAAATTACTTACATCAAATCAGGGGCCTAATATCAAACAGCAAAGTCCAATAGTTTTTATTAGCAGATTCCATCACATTTGTCAAAATTTTGTAAAAATACGAGTAAAAATATTATACTAAATATTATAAAAAATAGATGGGCAATAAAATTATTATTGTCCGTATTACTGGGTACACTTAAAAAATCAAGTAACCTAGTTTTCACAAATATGCTGTGTACTATGACTTTTTTAGGTTTTAATTTTTTACATAAAAAAACTTTTGATTCCAAATTGGTTTTAAACTAACAGTGAAACTTTTTTTTATAAATATCTATTTATATATTTTAAAAATAAATGTTAAAGATAAAACTGGGTTCTGTAGAACCTATTACAAAATATTAGGCTTTATTATAATAAAGCCTAATATTTTGTAATAGGCCTATTAGCTTCCAAAACATGATTGAGTCTTGTAAGCATAAAATCAAGTAGTGTATGCCAATAGTTTTCTTTCTGTCTAAGCTTCTTCTAACTATCTTCAATAGCCGTCCATTTTGGATAGTTCTTTTTTATTTTTTGGCCTAAAGTTTTGGCTATAATTATTTTTACTAGCAAACCACAGATGTTATTATTGGCCCTGAAACATTATGTTATTATTCTTGCTGTATAACAGAACATTTGTCCTTTCATGAAACCTGGAATTTGCTGGTCGCTACACACGAATATGCCCGTCATTTCTAGACTGGAAAACTTTTTGTCAGTAAACACAACATTATTTCAATAATTATTTAATATGATAATATGATTATAATCAAAGGCATAATTTAAGCAACACAAGATCCGGGCTTACTTTTGTTCTACTGCTAAGATGCTCTTATTAGCACTTTCCAAGCAGGAAAATTTATTACGAATAGGTCTTCCCTTACGGTTTTAAACTTAAAATAGTTTCGGTATACATTATTTCAGCAGTAAATTACAATTTTTATTGTAAATTTTCGCCATAAATGTGTACAATATAGGCGCGGCCAAATCTGTATGGGTGCACGTCATCAACGCATACAAAATCCAACGCTCGTTTATTGTTGGCTGACTATGGCGATGAAGGCTATTTAATAAACAGTGTTTATATTAAGATAGACATAACATAATTGTTATAATTTTCTACATTAACTAATTAGGCAAATTTTGATTAAATGTGCTTGGAGAAACAAACGAAGTTTATTACATAATAATATTATGTTAAACAATACATCATTTACAATGTTTATTATAAATGTGTACAGTACATGTTATATAATATATTATAAAAACACAAAAAAACAAATTATTAGAAACAAACTAAATTACTGGTCGTCCTCGTCGTCAGAGCGACCCAGGTCAGACTCGGAGTCTTATTCTTCCCCCAAATGTATTAATAAGGGCGCAATGTCCTCACAATCCAACACATGTTCGCGTTGACACCATTCAGCGATCAGTTGTTCGGTGTGGTCGACGCTTTTACTCCACATTTCCGGCGTGATGTGGTCAAGAGCCTCTAGCTACATAGCCAAAGACTTGTCCCTACCACTGCCGTCTCATCCCATATGTTTATTGTAGCAGTTTTTAGTTATGCCGGGAGTCGCAGTACCTGGTGCCTGTAGCGGTTCGCCAGCTGATCGACCTTAAAAACTTTCGGTGGCTTGTGTGGGTAATTATGATCAAATCAATTAAAAATAAGGCCCTTTTTACCAGCACGTAGACCGTTGTAAACCTGTTGATGAGTTCTAACAGTTGAATTTGTAATAATGTGGGTTCAAACGGGATTCCCTTTTCAGTTAGCCTTTCTCCAAATACTGCTCGGGTCTTTCGACACCAGGGTCGAGTGGTAGCTGGCGTTATCCATCACAATGATGGATGGTTCTTTTAGCAGCTGTAGTTGGTACTCGAACCACTTCAGAAAATTCGCCTCGTTCATGTCACCATGATAATCCCCGGTTTTGGATTTCGAGGCGAATATGAGCTGCGACCCTTCATTGCTGCTGCTAGCATGCAGAACGATATGCCTGCAAGTAATTATGGTTATGTTGACCGCATGTTCATGTTCTGCGTTCTTACCGTGGTCCATCGACCTTTAATCGGCGAACACTTTTGTGGCTGAGATCCTGCCAGGAGAACGTGATGTTCTTTCTGTTCTTAAAAATCCACGTTTCATCAAGAAATAGAAACTGCAAAGGGCGGTCTGAGCGCCGGTTGGTTATGTATAACTTGAGGAATTTGGTCCGTAGTAGCGCTATCCGGGGCAGCTCCATCAGTCCACGTCGTGTGTCGTCCCTCTTGAAACGGAAGACAATGTTTTTCAGAACTCGGCCCAATAATAATAATTATTATTATTAAATAATAATAATAATAATAATAATAATAATAATAATAATAATAGTTTATTTGCAAAACGTGTACATTATTTTACATTATATAATATGTATACAATTTCTTGGAAAAAGGACTGGAAGGCAGTTAGTTAACTGATTCGAGTTCCAGACCAAAAAAATAAAAAATATATATAAAGTTATAAAGTTATAAAGTTATAAAGTGCTCTTTTAGTTCCACCCTTACATCCAAACTAAGATGTCCCATAAGCCAACTCTCGAGAAATACGCATTTCACGGAAAAATGTCTTAAATAAAAGGTTAATGTGACTAAAGGGGACATTATTTGGTGCTACCGCTAGTCACCCCCTACCCCTCCTTAAGGGTGAAATGGGGGGTAACTTTGGAAAGTCAAATGGAATGACTTTTTTCAATTTATCAACAGATGGCGCCGTAATTCAGAAAAATGAGTTTCCTTGTAAAATGTATTATTTGAAACGTTTGAAAAACAAAAATTAACATTAACAACAATAGTCGGCTATGAAAACAATTTATAACAAATGTTCGAAATGTCGTCATTCCATTTCAACACATTTTTGAATGCGGGTAATGAATTCTGGCACACAACGCGTCAACATGTCGCGCGGTATCGCCGCACAGGCGTTCCTGATCCGCTCCACCATGTCCTCCCAAGTTGTAGGAATTGCAGCGTAAACTTTTTCTTTCAAGTAACCCCACTGGAAGAAGTCTGGTGGCGTAAGATCAGGTGATCGAGCAGGCCAAATTACTGGACCACGTCTACCGATCCACCGCGGTGCACCGGCCATTGAACTCCCGATCCAACACCTCTTGAGCAATTGTTGAATAATGTGCAAGACAACCATCTTGCTGGTACCACATGTTTTGGAGCCGTGCTAGTGGTACATCCTCCAAAAGGTCTGTCAGATCGTTTTCTAGAAAATTCCGGTACTTTTCGCCATTTAATGCACCGTCAATATAGAAGGGTCCGATTAATCGTTCGCTTAAGGTACCGCACCAAACGTTTACCGACCAGGGACGCTGGTACTCCACTTGGTGTCGACTATTGTTGATTTAATGTTAATTTTTGTTTTTCAAACGTTTCAAATAATACATTTTATACAAGGAAACCCGTTTTTCTTAAATTTTGAATTAGAGAGCCATCTGTTGATAAATTGAAAAAAACTTTCAAATAAAAGTTATTCATTTTTTTATGTACTACCAAACTCTGTGAAAAAAATCGGGTCATTCCATTTGACTTTCCAGTTACCCCCCGTTTCACCCTTAAGGAGGGGTAGGGGGTGGCTAGCGGTAGCAACAAATAATGTCCCCTTTGGTCACATTAACCTTTTATTTAAGACATTTTTCCGTGAAATGCGTATTTCTCGAGATATTGAGCTGTCTCAAGTTAAAAGAAACACCCTGTATATATATATATATATATATACAGGGTGAGTCATAAGTGGTGAACTTCCCGAAAGGTGCATGTAGGGGGGCCTTAATATAGGTAGGGAAAAATGTTAAAAAAATTCCAAATAAAAAAGTGACCGAGGAATTCAGTTCTTAAGTTTTAAATTTAACTTTTTTATTATTTAATATTTTTTCACCTTATATGATTTTTACTGAAGAGTTTATGGTTCTTAAATATTTCCTAGCAAAAAAATTGCCCGAAAAAGTGTATTTTCTTTTAATTTTAATGTTTTAGAATGATTTTTTAACAATTGAAATGATCTGGCAACTTTGTAATCAACAATACGAAAATTGACATTGACGTTTATATTTTTTGGTGTTTTCTGGTTATTATTTTGTCGAGTCTATTTGTAATCAACAATGCGAAAATTAGGTTTGACGTTTATATTTTATTTTTTTGGTTATTATTTTGTCGAGTCTATTTAATAAAATGTACACCAATCAAGAATATGTGAATATGATGCTGGTACTTGGATTCTGTGAAGAAAATTGCAATGAAGCAGCCCGGGTATACGCAGCAAGATTCGCTGACATAACCCACCCATCGCCAGGAGTTTTTAGATGGATGATGGTCAGAGCTAGAGAGACTGGATCTCTAATTCCCACGGCAGGTCCTGACCTTGGTCGGCCTCTAGAGATTGTACCCGAAGCCGATGAGTTAATCATCCAGCTGATTCAAGAAGATCCAACAAGAAGTACCAGAAATGTGGACCCATGTACAAGTTAGTACAAGAAGAAGACTGGAATTGTGTTTGGAAAATCAGGGGCATCAATTCGAGCAATTTTTGTAATGTTTGTTCATGCTTCTTTATGTTATTTTTTTCATAAATTTTTATTTTGTTTGATTTTGGTTTTAATAATTATTATTTAAGTATTATAATCACAACAACTGTCTCATTGCTGTCTTTTATTATGACAGTAATGACAACAATATAAGCACGTAACAATTCAAATAAGTTCCTTAGTTACTTCAATTAAAATGAAATCTAATAATTTCCTGTAACATTGTTAGTGTTTACACGTTGCCAAAATTCTCTTTTGAGTTCTTGGCCATAACTCGAGTACCAAAGCAGATAGATTTTTTTAAACATTTTTCCCTACATATATTAAGGCCCCCCTACATGCACCTTTCGGGAAGTTCACCACTTATGACTCACCCTGTATATATATATATATATGGGACATTCCACGTTACTCGGTAATTTTTGTCCCGCCCGTCACAATTAAAAATTGTGAGTAAAAACCACAAGTTATAAAATTAATATTTTATAATATTATATAGTATTTATATTATTATAATATTATTTTTAATGTGCTTATAACTTATTAAAAGCATAATAAAACAATATTTTTAAATAAATTTTATAACGTGTAGTTTTTACTCACAATTTTTAATTGTGACGGGCGGGACAAAAATCCCCGAGTAACGTGGAATGACCCATATATAATATTTTTTTTCTCTTCTCTTGTAAAATATGTTAGTTTATCATGCTGTAAGAGCCCTGTTAAAATATCAGCTGAATTAAAAAAATTTTAGGGGTCGCTCAAGATTTTTTAAAATTTTCAAAATCGTCAAAAATTGCATTTTTGTTTTATTTTAATTTTTTTCTGGTCTCGATATTATTTTTTTGGTTGAAAATAATAAAAATTCTGTAAATTTCAAATCAATATTTTGATTTCTAAACGTCGCTAAAAGTTCGTCGATATTTATATTCAGAGGTCGCTCGAAAAAATTCAAAATACTCTACTTTGAAAGTTGAAAAAAATCTTGAGCGACCTTTAGATATCAAAATATTGATTTAAAATTTTCAAAATCATTATTATTTTTAAATTAAAAAATAATATCGGGACGAGAAAAAAAATTAAAATAAAAAAATCCAATTTTTGACGATTTTGGAAGTTTTTAAAAATTTTGAGCGACCCCTAAAAATTTTTTAGTGAAGCTGATCTTTTGACAGGGCTCTTAAAACATGACAAACCAACAGATTTTTACAAGAGACGAGAGAAAAAAAATATTCTTTTTTTTTTGGCCACCCTAATATATATATATATATATATATATATACATCCCGCTTACAATGCTGCATCATTTCAAAGTACCGTCATTATAGCGTCTACCAGAAATACTGCAGTATATCGTGATTTAACATTGTAGAAGTGTTAATTAGACAAAATATTGACCGAATTTTACGTTAAATGTTTATAAACCCTTTTTTAAACTAAAAATTCATGTTACTATCATTGCTGCTTCTTTTTATTTTGCTATCATTTCTGCGTCGATGTATATCGAATTTGTTAAACCATCATTGCTGCAACAGAAGTGAATATTTTTTTCAACTCCCCCGTCTTTTCTGCGTCACCTATGTTGCCAGATCTTGTCGACGCATCATTGATTGTCTTTTGTACTAGGATTTGAATATTAAATTTATTAAAATAAATATTTAAAATCATAATACCCAATAATTTCGTCGTGCGTTGTGACTTGTTTTTAGCGCATATATATCGACGCTCACAAATAAAAGGCATAATATAAGTTCTTTAGAAATTAAATGATAAATTTTTTATGTATAATTTGTTGTCATTTAATAGTTTAAGGTAGTCTGGATAAATTCAATTTTTTAGCTTTAAAGGATGTGCAGAAAAAATTCTAGCCTACGGGATTAATTTTTGATATGTTAAATTAACATACAAAATGTGTGCCACTGACATTTTTAATTTTTAATAGCATAATAGCATAATTCAATTATGATAATTGTAGACAATAAGGTTCCTTATTGATATTTTTGGTATTAAATATTTTATTAGATTTAGCTAAGAAATTAATTAATATTTCCAAATAAGGCTTAGATATTCGAAGGACCGTTTCTAACGTTTTCTCAGTCAGGGTGGGTAATAAAATTTGCCGCTCTAATGTTGGTATATTTGTTATATGGTTGGTATACCTAATATAAATTGTTTATAATATAATATGTATAAGTGTTTGAAAGTAAAACGTCAAAAAATGTATCTAAAATAAAAATATTGACGGGCCAAAGCGTTTTTTTAAATTGTAATTAAAAAAGTGCTCTTAATCTAAGGAGGCGTTTTTACCAAAACCATAAATAAAAAAGGGATTATTTTAAAGGATTTTTAAATCTTTATTTAACTACGTCTTAGAATAAGGCGAAACGGTTTAAACTTTCCAATTTTAGTTTTTATCAATATTAATCAATTTAGGAGTGAAGAATATTTATAATTTAAATTTGTTTAAACTTTTTGCCTTTTTAAAATATAAAGGGCCAAATTGTATGTAAAAAACTAAGGATGATGTCTTTTTAATATTTTGAAAACGTCACATTTTTGTACTAGGACAGCTGTTTACTTTCCGTCCTAAAATGTAATCAGATGTTTACTTTCGTCTTTGGATAATATAATTATTATTATTGTTGCTGTCATCACATATCGTCCCAATAATCGTATGGTAGCGTATCTTTAATTTA